TCCTGTATCAGCATTTTTAAAGCAGTACAACATTTTTTTACCCATTGATTCTGTCTTTTTGTTGCCTTTAATGCAACAACCTGCCATTAGGAGGAAGAAGTGCATGTAAAGTGCTTCCACATACTCTGAGATATTCTACTAGCATCGACACATACTTTGATGAGCAATTGTATTAAGTGGAACTGACTTTATGCTCAGAACAGCACAAATTCTCTTTTCAATGATTTAAAAATGCATTCTGGGTTCATATTAGTGTATCCTATAATTTCCCACAAGGTAAGTGAGCTATTCAAATATTTTTCTGGCCTGCGGCGCATAGCACAGGGAGAAAAGCCAGTAGGAGGTCAACTACTTGAGCAGCTGCCTATTTGGGCGTGAGTGTGAGATTGATGGCTTATGTCTGTTTTTGGACGACCTTGTGTCTTTTTTTGGACATGTCTCAATATACACTGCCAATCGTACAACACATTGCCCCCAGATTTGACTTTTTTCTGTTGTCCACGTTTGGTTTCCAGCTGGAAAAAAATGTGGGCACCACACCCAGGGAGGCTCGATCTGATGTGATCCCACTGTCGTCGCCACGTTGGGATCTCCCTAATGACACTGTGTGACCAGAGCGATTCAGGGTCTGATGGGAAGCAAGGATATTCGAAGTCCAGTTTCCGTTGCCTCTGTTGGCAGGCCCTGTGATCGTTGTCATAACATAGTCACTTTGATATCACCATTTATTAAGGAATGATAACGTAGTGGTTATGGTGGTCGGTTCAAATCTGTGTCCGAGAGGTCTCGGGTTCAATCTGAGCTTTTGCCTCTTATTTTCGCAAGCATTTCTTGCTGACTCCACGTCGGCCGAGAAAGCTGGCCACCACATAAAAGCTGGCGACACTGTGCCATTAGAGCGATCCCAACCTGCACTCTACAGCTGTTCTACATTGAAGTCACATGTAATGATGTTGGTGTCAGCTTAAAATTCCCAGCTGTCCCCAATGTTTCATACAATAGGCGGTGTAGACATAAATTATATCTATATATGGACATAAGGTGTCCCAGACATGGCACCAGAGCCCGGGCGAACGCCGAAGGAGCGACGAAGGTAGGCAGGTTCAGGGACATGTCTAGATAACACGGTCAGGGATCGATGAGCTGTTTATATGAGGTTGGTGGAAAGTCGGAAAAGGCCGAGTCCACCATCAGTCTACGTAGAACGGTCTACCCCAGTGGATGCGAAGCTCTGAGTGACCCGGTAATGGTCACATGACAGTAGGGTTTGCCAGTTTGGTTTCTCGTTGGTTTCTCAATCTTAAAATAAACCATGGAGGCTAATTTCTTTCCATTAAATATGACTGATCCCACTATGATAATGTGTCTGTAATAGCTTGTGTAGAATAGGTTCTGGAGTCTGTCTACACAATGCACTGTGACTTCTCTAGTGCTTTACATTGGCATTATGCTCTTGATTATGCTGGCATATATAAACTGTACCATCCCTGATTTCGAACCTCTTCCATCATTGCTATTTCGCTTTTTTTGTTTCCTTTGTCCACTGTTGTCTGCAATGTCCTCGCGTAAGTTCTCCCGTCACTGCACACTCTTGCTAGCTTCTCACAATTATGGGTAGTCCCACTCATCGCGACTCCACCAAGTGGTTCAGTCAATCCAAATGTTCACAACTAATCCTTATTCGGTAGGTGATGCTCCCACTCATGCCAACACCCTCAGAGACGTCGCCAACGGTTAGTGATGTTGCGGTCCAAAGGGATGAGCCACTCACCACGTCTTCATTAGTGTCACTTTGGCGGCCACAGTAACACCATCTTCTTTTGTCACCATCGGCGTCGTCGTCCTTGGGCACTCCCTCCGTAAAGCCAACACTTCTGCCCGACTCATCCTCCCATACCTCCCGACACGCATCTCCGCTCCCGCCCTATGCATAGTCTGTGCGGCTGGCTGGGATCCGCACCCTATCACCCTCATCCCCCTGCCGCATGGCTCCTCTTGCTGTCGGTGAAGCCCCTAGTCCCGCGGTCACACATACCCTTCCAGCTTACCATGGGCAATTCTTAAGCGGTGGGACCAGCACCAACGACGACATTCTCGTTGTGTCGTGTGGCCACTGCGAAGCCCACAATGTTGTGGAGACATCCAAGGATTCGTACTACGTCGTTTTCGAAGGAAAAGGGGTTGTAGGCCTATGTATATACTATAATATAGGTCCACCCCATTTCTTGTATATTTTAATCTCCCCATAATATATTTTTTGAACCAAGTACATGGTGAACTATATTTGTTGTGTCCCTCAAGCCTGGGCCGCTTTTGACACCCCTGCTCGCGCCCAACACGCTGGTTTTTCAAAACCTTGCGCCTGACACCTCGTGCCTGACAGAACCTCACACCTGTAACCCCTGCGCTCCCCTGCGACGCTTGAAGCTTGAAACCTCGCGCTTGACAGCTCCACCAATGCAAGGAACGGTGCACCTCGCGCGCGAGATCTTTCTCTGATCGCCTTCCCTATTGGGATTAATGAGGAAGCAGGCCATATTCTCATCAGTCAAAGAATCGGCCTCTGAGGTCTTCTGATGGTCCAAAGCGCCAGGCCTGAAGTGCTAATTAGTGAGTAACCGTGGGTAAGCATCGTGTCTCAAGCTTCCTCTGTACGTCTCCAGCACCCTGATGCATCCATAGGAAGCTGAGCTCCATAAGTGTATTTGGGCCAGCTGGCTTAGGGTGACTTTGGTAAGTTGGCTACAGGCTGATGCATACGGTGAGGTATGAAAATAGAATTCATATGTCATCCACGATATCAGTAAGTATAGCTTGGGAGGTCGGTGCCGCTGATGGTGATTCGGGTGGTTCGCATTGGCATTAGTAGCCTGAAGGGGTGGCCTGCCGCGGCCGTTGACGTATCCCCCTCAGCCGCGGTTGGGGTTGGCCACGATGTGCATGGGCAGTCGGTGGCTATCTTCAGGTTAGCTTGAGAGAATTTGTGGATGAGGGCAAGGGAGTCACCTGGGAGGTTGCGCTGGGTGGAATCCAGCTGCTGGAGCCTGGCCAGGCGCGGGGTTGATCTCGGGTCGGGGACCATGTCTCGGTTCAAAGGGGACCTCATTCCGAACGGGCGGCGGAGCTTTAGGGTTGGTAGACGTTATGAACTGTGGGTTGGGCAAGCTCAAGCAGGTGTTGAATTCGACCGTCGAGTCATGACACGGAAAATGACGCACCGATCCCCCAACGTTATCCCAGACATGAACGGAACATCCCACACTACGTCTACAGTCTTCGAATTGAGCCCAATGACGACACCTTTGACTGATAGTGGAACGCTTCCAGAGTCTTGCACCATCGTAACACAGTCGCCCAAAGCAAAGTGTTGATTCTGAAGATGGTAAGCAGTGTGTGCAGGTTTGAGAACAGCTTGTCTAGGGATTCCTTTGACTATGGCCTTCTTGAACTGAGCTGATGACTTGTTCAGTTGTTCTCCGTAAACTCATCAGCCATTTGCTTGATCTCCCCAACGGTCTCCTGCAGGTAGATAAGGTTTGGGTGGATGGGTTACAAGGCCGTGAAGCAACTATTCAGCTTACCTTGCCTAGTTGGTCACAGAAAAGGGAGACGGGCTCGAAATCTCCAACACCCTTCGTCTTTAGCCATGCTTTAATCACCCTAACACGACCTTCAGGATCCGGCCCCGACAGGATGTCGGATACCCTTGCCATCGCTATAAACATTTAAGGTTAATCGTTCGTCACTCGCACAATAACGTACATGTACCATCTCTGCTGTTATCTAACGAGAGGAAGACCTCAGGAAACTTTGCCTAATGATCCCATGCTTCAGTAAGTGTCAGAGCCTGTAAAAACCAACAGACCTTGTACTCTCGGATCAGGTCGATTGCCCTCTCGCTATACTCCCAATGCCGGCCCTCTTTGTGAGAATCGTCGACGACCTTCAAAGCCTTCGCTTTGAGTTAGAGGCTCAGGCTGACATTGGTCCTCTGTTCATCAGACGTGATGACCATGAAACTCGACGTAATCTTCCCCAAAGCCCGCCCTGAGATTCCAACCGTCTCTGCAGCTTTAAAAGAGGGGAAGTAGTGGCTAGATCGTCGACTCTGTACGACGGCTTAGAACTGGTCATTCTCAGCCTTTTCAGCTGGGAAGAACTATACAGTGATGGGTTCAAGAGCGCGTTACGATACAGAATTAGTGAAAGACGTACTCCAAGTATTGCAGACAAACTGGTTTCGGTCGTGGCAGAGACTGAAGCAGCCACCCCATACGCATGTTCCCCCAGCATGAAAATCTGGGGGACTCCTCTGACAAAGGAGGTGCGTCGCGTTCGAGGGAGCGAGGATCTTTTGAAGCAACTTTGGGAAGACACATCTGCACTGCATGTTCCGTTTCCCTTTCTGGGCCCTCACAGTCCTTCACAAAGGCACCAGGCTCCAATCGTTTCAGGCCTTAACGTGTTGTAGAGTGTCAGCAACATCCCATTGAAGGGTAGATAAGACACTCACCTTTTAGAGGAAGGACATGTAGGAGAATGTCAACAGTGCGTGTAATGACTCCTGATCGTTTAGAGTAAACCTGCTCGATATGATCGGCCTTCATCTTCCAATGGCCCAATCCTTGTGGCGCGTGTGGGTTTGAGATGACCTTGGCCGGTGTCCCAGGCACGACTGTCATCTTCTCGTACTTAAACAATGAATCAGAGACCGCCACAACCGATCCTTCCTGCAGGAATGGCCAACCCATGAGAGTCCGTTCGCCAATCATCTTCAACTTCTTCCGTCTTCATCCCCTCATATGGGTTTCGTATATGCACCGCCATCGATTTGTTCTGGCTTTCTGAACCATGGACGTTTACGCCATGGTATCGCAGTAGCGCCGTGTGTGGAAGCGTTTTGAGGGATGGGAATCAAGCCAGAGCTTCTGTACCGAGAATACTCCGCCGCAAGAAGAATCCAGGCAGAGATGAAGGATAGAGAGTGGCCTCGCCCGGGTTGAAACTGAATTTTGAGCTCGAGCCCCAAGTGTTCCTTTTTCTCTCCTCGGGGGTGAGACAATGATCACGAGCTGAAAGTGAATATATACGTTGGTGTCATAAGACCATACTTTGGCTAGGAACGTACCAGTCGTGGCTTTCAGCAGCCTCTCTTCATCAATGAATGTGACAATTGCCTCCTGGTCTTGCTTTTTCCCGTTGAGATCTTGCTCGAACTCGAGAGGGTAGAAGTCAAGAATCAGTGAGTTTGGATCATACATGAGATCCTTAGAAGAACGGTCAGCCGGCAATCATATGCGAACGTCGATATCTACCTGATAAGCTAGCGGAATGTGATCCATGCTAGCAACGGGCAACACGCCCATAAGCTGCTGGTACGGCTTGAATGGCGTTCCCAGCTGAAAATCGAAAGACATTTCGTCAACTCCCTGCAAATCTGTGATTGGCAACGTGAGCAACATCCAACATCCAAACCGACGACGCACACCTGAAATCCGACGAGCGTAATGATAGTTGTAGAACCATCCCCATGATGCAACTCCACGCGCATGACCAACTGCAGGTCGGTAGATCAGATCACCCATTTCAGTTGGGTCGTTGTAAGATATCCCTAGCTTCCCCTGCGTTGGTGTCTTGTCAGCTCAAACTTAATTTGAGAACAACAAAAAGATCCCAACCTTATAATAACCCCGCTTCCACTTGTCCCTCTTCTCTTTCAAAGACCGTTCATACCGCTCCTCAAACGTCCCGTCGGCATCAACATCCTCAACAGGCGCCTTCTCATACTTCTTAAGCACACGATCAACCGTTGCTCTGCTCTCTTCGTCTTCAACCTCAACCTCGTCTTCCCGCTCACTATCCTCCTTCTGCTCGCCCATCTCAGGCTCATCTTCCAGCGCTCTCGGAAACCGACACGTCGCCAGATTCCTGTCCTCCTCATCAAACTCGTCCCACGTCACACTCAGGTGTAGATCCTCCGTCAACTTGGCGATGAATACTCGCTCCCTCGCAGGGAACGAGTTTTTCATCGTCAGCCACACGGCTCGGTAGTGAGAAGGCGAGGGCGCGTTCCTGTTCTCTATCACAAATGCCTTGATCTTATCGAAGATCTCCCTCTGCGCCGTAGTTAAAACTGTCGCCAACGTCAGCATTCCGTAAAAGATTATCCCATTGAGAGCATACATACCTAGCTTCGCCCGTTTCTGCCCGTCTTCCATCTCTTTGACATGTTTTGCTTGTTTCCCCTTGTACCAATTCAAATCGGAATACTCCTTCTCAAACACCCCCTGTTCCCATGGAGTCATCTCGTCCAAAATGACTTGCAGTCTCTTCGTGTTGATCACTCCTCCCTCGTTTGTATAACCATCTACAACGACAGTTAGAAATGCAGCAAAAAGCGAGCGGGAAGACACTCACCCAAACCCGGCAATACTTTCTTGTATACATCAAACAACTTCTCGAGCCCATTCTCATGTATATGAAGATCGGGAAGATCGGGGAGAAAATCGTCAATCACCCGTTTGAGGTTATAGTCGAACGGCAACATTAGTTGAATCTCGTGGAATTCGAGGTCAAGATACTCTCTCATCAACGAGAGATGGAGTAGATAAAAGTTAACCGATTCTAAGCTAGTGCGATAAGAAAGACCATTTGTCCCGCCGACAGGGGTAAAAAGAATCAAGTACCTCGTATTCCATTTTTTCCGCGACGCTGGGCCAAACTTGACCTCCTCGCGAAGCAAACACAAATGGGGATCATGGCTTAACAGCCCCAACATGATTAAGTCGGCATCAAGGCCGTACAGGCAATGTCGAATGTTGGGGTTGTAACCAGGCTGCGCGCGCGATAGGCGAATGTACTCCATGATCTTGTGCTCGCCCTCTCCAGGGACCTCGCGCCCCGACAGCACCACTTTGACTTCGCGCCAATTCGAGTCCTCCGAAATCTTCTTGTGGATGAAATACCGCAGCTGGTCGATAAACGTGCCATAAATGGTGTCTCTAATGAACGTTGTCAGCGGTGCACAAGCTATACATGAAGAAGAAATGTTCGGCGAGTGTATAGAAGAAGAAAGGGCAGAAGTAGTTTCAGCCCATGTGTCAATGACTGGATCTCTTCTAGACGTATGTGCGCAAGAAGAGTTATGGGAAGGCCGACGACAGCGAAAGACATGCAAAGTGGGTATGCAAAATGGAGAAGAAAGGAGTATACAAAGGTGAAAGTCACTCAGTGGAATGACGTGGCGGAAAGGAGCGCTGCACCAAAAAGACGGATAGAAACTCACCGGAGCAATACAATTGCTATCAAACGCCTTCTCCATCGGCAACTTCTCGCCCTTCAATTCAGCTTTTTCCCGGACCACCTTTGCCTCCTTCGCGGTTCTGAAACGCCTGCTGCGTTGCTGATTCATCTTCGCCCTTGGCGCCACCCCATCCACCGCCACAAAGAAAAGTTTCTTCAACTTGATCTTGCCAAAGAGATGATCCACGTATGTGAATATCAAAGTGAAGATCTGCTCTTCTGTAAGTCGGAAATGAGTGTCCTCATCGTTCAGGCGAGAGCCTAGAAGGTTTCAGTATGGAAAACAACTTCTGAGTAAAGAAACGCAC